CACACACACACACACACACACACACACACACACACACACACACACTCACACACACCGCACACACTCCCACTTATTTGCCCAGACAAAAGCCAACAGAAGAGCAGTGTCAGAATTATTCCTGTGTCACTGCTCCTCTCCCGCTCTGACATTTGTTTATCGAGGGGAACTTTCCCTCCTTTAAGAGTCAGAAGGGAGCCTTCGCTCTGAGACCATGACATCGCTTTTTAATTTAACCAGCCTCGTCCTCTGAATAACTGAGCCATCCAATATACGAACCTTTAATTTTTACGATTATTGTATTTTTATTTTTTTCGGTTTTTGTCTCTTGGAAACAAGTTCTAAAAACTTGAATTTTTTGGAATCGTAAGAGCATCGGTTTGGTTTTTACTTGGCTAACGGGGACTCAGGAGCTCGTTATACGCGCCTCGACTGTTCTCAGGAGGTCTGCTTCTCTTATTTTCCCGCTTTTGTGTCTGCGCCGCGTTCCAGCCGAGAGCTTAATTTCTCACTTTCATCATCTCGCCTCCCTCCTGGCGTCCCACCGCGGTGGGTCTGCCGCCTCTCCCACTCGCGGGTTCTTTCGGGTGAAACGGAGAGGGCCCACTGTGGGCATTGTGTCCCAGCCTGAAACAATATTTACCGCGGCCCTCTCCGGGCTCCCTGGAAACAAAGCCGGTATTGATCCCCCAAATGAACCCACACAGCAGTCTTTATTGTTAGATCTTTATCTATTAAAATCAGGGGAGGAGAAAAGCGGCTCTTTCAGCACATTCCGGCGCGTTTGTCGGCTTATTGATTGTTTTGCCAGAGCCCGGGCACATCTTCTGGAATGCCCCGGATCGGAAAATATCAGATTGTGAATAATTTTTTTCGTCCGCTGTGACAATAAACGCAGAGAGATTTGTCCAGGTGACAGCAGAGTGGAGGCCTGCTGAGAGAGGACCCCCCCCTCCTCTTCACCAAGACATAAATAAAGAAATAACTTCCCTCTGGGATTATTAAAGTATTTCTGATTCTGATTCTGACTTGACAGGGTTTTAGTTCCCGACCCGATCAGTCGGATATGAAAACAAAAAAGTCAAATTTACTCTTGGTCCTTAAACTTTCAGCTTCAGTTACAGAAGTGTTTTTTTTTTCTTTCCATTTATTTAATTAAATAGTCAAACAGGATGACGAGGATTGTTCAGGATTTGAAGTTTGCATCATTGGAAGATTATTTTTTTTAGTGAAAAAGGTGAATAAGGCTTTGGGACGCTGACTTTTTTTAAAGAGGTGACCATTTCAGGGCCTCGTCCCAAAGCTGAGAAAGCTTCTAAATAGACAAACTGTTGCACCTCGGTGGACTCGTCTGGCTTTTAGACGGAGAACCGGAGGCTTTGGGCGGGAGCTGCCCTGTAAGGAGACGAGGAATGTCTTTGTTTAAGTTGATTTCTTCCATCCAGCACCACCTTATTCGGCCCCAATAATCTCCCGACAGTCACAGTAACTTAACGGTCAGCGCTGAATATTAATCTCCTCCTTCTGATGAAGGAAAACTGAAGGTGATGGTTTGCATTTGAGCCCCCCCCCCCCCCCCTCCCTCTCAGTGGTCTGTGTTTGTGTCCACAGGCAACATGCTGCCGGTTTTCTGCGTGGTGGAGCACTACGAGAACCCCATGGACTTCGACAGCAAGGAGGAGCACACCGAGTTCGTCCTGGTGCGCAAAGACATGCTCTTCAACCAGCTCATCGAGATGGCCCTGCTGTCTCTGGGCTACTCCCACAGCTCCGCCGCCCAGGCCAAAGGTAAGAACACCCCCCCACACACACACACACACACACCTCCCCGGGTGGCAACCGTTTCATTTTCCTCTGGTTAACCCTATAATGCAGGGGTGTCAAATAGGGTTGTCAAAAGTATCGATACCACCGCCCCCCTCCCCTCCCCCCCACGCCCCTTCTCTCTGATTTATTTATGTATTTTTTTACGTTGTTTATGGTCATTAACAAGACGTTAGCCTTGAACTGCTACCTGCGGCTAATGGCTAATAATAACATGCTACCATTAATCAAGTACATATCCAACTCCGCCCACATCCAAGTCACCAATAGGGAGTTCCCAGGCAAGAAAATGGTAATGCCTCCTGGCAATATAGACATTCATTTAAAAATAGTGAAATTAATCTTTCGAACACTTAATTAAACTCTATCCATAATATTATGTTAAAATAGTGTAATGTTAAATAGGTTTGTACAATAAGTCCAAACAAGTTTAACCCCAAAATTGTTTCTCACAATTATGAAGGGTTAGGGTCAGGGGCAGGGTCAGGGTTAGGGTTAGGATTAGGGTTATTAATGCGGGCCACCAGTCACAATAACATGAGTAACAGGTCAGTTTGAAATGAAAGACACAATTCTGTCAAAATTCAGTTAAATTTTGGGGTCTTTGTTTTTATCCTTGATGTATCGAAAATGGTATCGAGTATCGAGTATTTTCCTGAGTATCGGTATCGAGTTGAAAATTTTAGTATCGTGACAACCCTAGTGTCAAAATCCAGTCCTCGAGAGCCGCCGTCCTGCAGGTTTTAGACATTTTCCTGCTTCCGCACACCTGATTCTTATTCAATTGGATCTCCTCTGGACATTGTTGAGCTTTGCACCTGTCTAATGGCCCTTTGATGTGAATCAGGTGCGTTGAAAAAGGGGTTACCTCTAAAACCTGCAGGACCGCAGCCCTCGAGGACTGGAGTTTGACACCCCTTCTATAATGCCATATGTATAATATTCGACACATTCGGTTTCTGAAATCTTTTGCATCGTTTAATGGTAAAAACTTTGCTCAAACCCTTTCATACACAATCAGATAGAGCTGATTACAGCGGGCAGAAAACTACACCAAAATAATTTTGACTTATAGAAAGGTAATAAATGATGAATATTTAACCCTTTTAAGCCTGATCCAAGAAAAATAGGAAGAATATTGGATTTTTTAAAAAAAAGACAGAAATTATTTTGATCAAATTAGCGTGCAATAAGTCAAAAATATATTTTGGTCTTCTTCTGGCTGTTATCAGGTATATCTGAATGTGTACAACAGGGGTTTGAGCAAAGCTTTTACCACTGAATGATGCAAAAAGTCTCAGATCCAAAGGACTTCAGAAACCGTATGAATCAGATATGATACATTTGACATTATAGGGTTAAAAAGTATTTGTCATATTTTGTTAAAGGGCCCAAATAAAGACTTAGATCAGGCTTTAAAGGGTTAATGGTGCCTTACAACACACACACACAGACACACACAGAGATAGCCAACTCTCAGTTTATCTGAAGCCACAGTAAAACACACTGACTCTGATCCAAGACAGGAGATGCTCAGGTTGTCCTTCTTTACGTGGGTCCACCCGTACGGGGCAGGTGTGTGTTTGTCCACTCACTCGCTGGCCGTAGGCGGGAGAGGAAGGTGGACAAAAGGGTCTCGCTAATTGCACTTGAACGCAACTGAGGCCGGCGGTTTCAAGGTGCCTCTTTGCGTTCTCTCTTATTATAGGCTGTCCATCACACTAATATGCACACACGTATATAAATACACATCCCGGTCCACCTCTCCCGTCCTCCTTCTCACATCCCGCTGTGTGGGCTGACGCCGATTTCCAGACGCCGTCAGGAGAAATTCTTGCACGGTTGTTGTGATTTCGGCTTCGAATAAAGAGAAAAGGAAGAGTGTTTATGGCACCAAGATGCTTCTGGGGTGCCTACACATGGTGTTATTCACACTGTACATGTGTTAGCGCTTTAAATTAAACAGCGAGAGCAAGCTCAGAGGCTCAGATGTGCCTGTTCTCGTGTCCACATCTGTTATTTATCCTAAGCATGTCCACATTTAACCAGCTTGTGTTCGGTTGTTCACACAGGTATGATTCAGGTGGGGAAGTGGAACCCCGTCCCGCTGTCCTACGTGACAGACGCGCCGGACGCCACAGTGGCCGACATGTTGCAGGACGTCTACCACGTGGTCACGCTTAAGATCCAGCTGCACAGGTAGGAAAACACGCACACATCCACAGTCCCATCTCACATTAATCCCAACTCCCAGAGCACGTTCGGTTTGGGGAAAACCAAAGGAAGGTGCCTCTCCCAAAAATAATATTATCACCCTAACCCACAACGGACCGGCCGCTCCCAGGAAATGGGGAAAAACCCATTTTAATAATGAAAACTTCCTCCTCTCCGTGATAGTAATGGAAGACAGAAACTGTTTTATTTGTCAATTTAGGCATTAGCAGATGGGAGCAGACGGTGGAACAACCCTTGCGTCTTTGCTAACAATTCAGTTTGCACGGTCATGATGAAGCAGATTTAGCCGCTCCGCCGTGCCAACTTTAGCTGCTAAGTGATATTAGCTTATTTGCACACGAGACTGACATTTTGCTTCGGAAACGGCTAAAATGAAAAAATGATAATAAAGCAGCCGTTATTGAACCCGGCTCTGCTTTAGCTGTTTTCATGATAATGGAATTAAAGCAGAATGTGGATGGCAACCGCACAGCTAAAAATGGCTTTCCGGCAGCTGAATAGCAGTTTGTTCACCTTAAATAAGGGCAGAAATAAACCAGTTTTTTATTTAAAAGTCAAACATATTTCTGCTAGCTGTCCTCTGCCATCGCTCGCCGGGTTTTATGCAGAATTTCTTCCCCGTAGGTGTGAGGCTCTGTCGTATTTATACACGCGGCACATTTATAGAGCGGGATGCAAACAGACTCACACGGACACAAAGGCAACACACACAGATACTCGACTGGAGCCGGTGTGGAGGCTCGTGCCAGCTGCATGCTAACCCGGTGTTCTGCAACTCTCTGGAGAGCTGTTCTTAGTCTCGCTCTGCCTCTGCCTCCCCTCTCCTCTCTCCTTCTGTCTCCCCCGCCACCTCCCACCTTCACCAGTCAAGCACTCGGCTGATGTGATGTGAACACGTCCACCAGCCAGAACACAGGAGGTTGTGTTTATTTCCGGCTTGCTTAGCCTTCTGAATGCACAGATAGCCGTCTTTTTTTCCCCCTTCCCCCCCCTTTTTTTTTTTTTTCCCTCTCCCAGCCTTTTTCCCCGCTCCTCTTGTTACTTCCATCTCCCCAGAGGCTTCATAGCTACTGGAGCAGTTTAAGGTGTTCTGAGAAAATCCATTGTTGGCACGATGAGAGCGTGCGTGCGCGCGCGTGTTTTCCTGCTAGCAGATGTTGGCCTCGGCCGTCGCACGCATCGTTGTCTGCTCCATTCTCCTCGCCATATTCCCAACACGACGCGGGGCAGATTTACGGTCAGACGCTCAAACGCTGCCACACACACACACTCGCCGACTCACAGGCCTCCGCCTTTGTGTTCAACCCAAAATAATGCGGCGACCAAATCCAGCAGGGGAGCAGACCCCCGAAACCCGGTTCGGGTTTATTTTCCAACCCGGGAATTTTCAGGTGGAGGGTTTCTCCTGTGCGAGTCTCTGCTACAATCTGATCCGAGTGTTTTCCGACTGTTCTCGGTACGGTCGGCGTGGTCTATATCGTCGGGTCTAATTTCGGCCCCGCACCCCCCACTGCCGCAGAGATCTACCCAGCAAGACCTTAAATTGTTTCGCCGAGCACAACAAGCCAGGAAGGTAGAAGTAACGCGGAATAATAGCCGCCACATGCAGCTGATGTATAATTCATGCATCAATCCAGCAGATGTGTTGTATAAAGTAATTAACTAATCAGAACAATCAGGAGAGAGAGGAAGGGGGAGAGAGGGAGAATATGAAAGGGGCGAGGGAGGCAGAGAAAGAGGGAGGCTGAGCAATCTCCAGATGCATCTGCTTGATGCGCCAAATGAAATCTGTCTGTCTTGGAGGGACGCTTGCAGCAGGAAAAGCGAGCAGGAGCTCTTTCTCTCTGGTTTCCCCCTCTGCCTCCCCTGCTCCCGCCTGTCTGATGTGAGTTGGGCTCATCAATACATGCACCTCAAACAGAACCCAAGCAAAAGCGGCAAACACCGGCACGCCTCACGCCTCCGTTTGGGGGGAAAATAGCTGTTCTGTGGCTCCACATCGGATTAGTGCGGAAATAATCAGCCGCTCGAACGGCAACGGTGAAATATACCTGGATATTGATTTATGAACTGCTCCATTTAATCGAGCTTAATGTCCGTATTCTTGAGGTTTCAGGCGCCGATACGAGCTGCGGCTTCCTCGCTGTTTATCTGGTTTAATAGAAGAAGAAATGTACAGAGTAGTTTTTTTTCTCTATAGGGCTGTCATGTGGTAAGAAAAGACTCTTTAGAAGTACAGATGCCTCCAAAAGCTGCTTAGGTGGAGTTTAAAATGTGATTTGTACTACAGCCACAGCACAAAAGCAGATTTCTGAACCTCTCAAGCAGAGGCTCGGAGACGAACAACACCAAAAGCAGTCTCTTAGTTAAGTAAGATTTCCAGTCAGTGTTTATTTAATTGGGTTTTTCTTTGTGTCTGTTCTTTCATTTAATCTGGATTTAGCCTTGTTCAGGCCCCCGAAAGTGGAAAAGACCCGTCGGGACTGTGATCGCTCCTCAGAGCTGTTTCCACCCCTCTGCTCCTTTTTAAAGCCTTTAATAAACACAAAAGTTTAGATAAATCGAGGAAATGATTCCTTCAAATTGTGCATTAATGGGCAATCTGCTGCTGTCGTTTATTGATTGATCTCCTTGTTTTAATCACAGTTTCATGTGGTTTACCCTGTCCCGTGTGTTTCTTCCTCCATCCCTGTCATTCTGTCTTCTGCCCTGCTCTCCTCCACCCCCTGTGTGTCTTTTTTCTTTCCCCACAGTTGTCCTAAGCTGGAGGACCTGCCGCCCGAGCAATGGAGCCACTCTACAGTAAGAAACGCCCTCAAGGAGTTACTCAAAGACATGAATCAGAGCTCTCTGGCTAAAGAATGTCCTTTATCACAGGTGCTGAAGCCCAAACTGTTTATTCCAAAAAAACAAACAAACAGAAAAACAATGAAAGAAAAACCAAACAATTTCAACCCCTCTCCCCCCCTCCCCACCCCTTACCCCCTACCCCCCCCAACCCCCACCCACCCCTGCTACCATAACTCAACAAAACAAACACCCCTATCTCCATCACCTCCGTCTTTATCCTTCACTTATCAAATGCCCTGAGTTTGATCGAGTGGGAAAAAGAATCGGTATAGAAAGTCCAAATCAATGGCTATTGTTATTCGTTTGCCGCATGATTTTCTTCACCACCCACAACACGCACGCACACACACACACACACACACACACACTCGACACACCGCCGGTGTGCAGTGGCAGCCAAAAAGTAGAGGTGTTATTGAGCATATGGTTATTGTTAGATAAACATTGGACGGAACCCAGAACGATCTGGATTGTTTTTCGCTTATTCTCTCCCTTTTCAGTTCATTCTCAGCATTTCGTTGCATTGGGCTGGAAAATTGCACATTCGCATGTGAGGTGTTATATTGTGCGCGTGTTTTGTTTTTTTGTTTCGTTTTTTTTTTGTCAGCCGGGGAGGTTCGACAGAAAGCCCTGGTGCAGATATTGTGTTAAGAGGCAGAGCGGTCGGTATATCATGGAGGCAGCTCCGGAGTGAGTGGAATGAAATGAAAAGGCAGTATATCTCTCTCTCTCACGGCGACCAATAAGGCGCGTGGACGTGAGTTACACGAGGGTTTGCTCGAGTGTGCTCGTGAAACGTCTGTCAATGTACAGAGTGTGTTCACGTTTCCCCCCCCCCAAACGTGTCCACGCAGACCCATGCATGTGTGGAGCCAGCTCTCCTCCCAGGCCACCGTATGGCCACCTGGAGACCCTCATTTGTGCTAGTGTGAGCAAGCGGCTGCTCTCAGAGCGTGTGTGTGAGTCTGTGTGTGTGTGTGAGTGTGTGTCAGAGAGAGAGTGTGTTTAGCTGGGCATGAGCAGTGCGCTGATGATGTAAAGAGTCCCTGGGTGGCGTTCAGGCGGAGCCCAGCCCGGTCTGGTAATCACCCTGTTTACGGTCCATATGTGAAGACGGCTCAGAGGAGGGCGCGCGCTAGCTCAGAGGGTTTAGCACACAAAGCACACTCAGCCTGTCTCAGACACATATTTGCCATAGTGACACGCAGGCTAGCCCTCCAGTGAAACCCAGAGACTGTTTTTCACCGAGGAAACACTTCCCTCTTTCTCATCTGAGCACGGAGAGCGCATTTTAATCGAAATGCTGCTGTGGACAAAACAAAACAAAACAAAAGTCTAGATTAGTTTGTAGCTTTTCCGTTTTAGTCTCTCGCGTTCGTATCTCCGGCGTTGAAAGATGGCCGCCGTGTTGGTTGGCATCTGCTGCTTGTGGGGGGGGGGGGGGGGGGGGGCGCCATGCTCACAGAGCAGCGGTTTGCTCCTCCCAGGCCCAGCTGAGCCCGGTCATCCACCCCACAGACCCCCCCCCACCCCAACATCCAGATACAGTGGGGGAAATAAATATTTGACCCCTTGCTGATTTTGCAGGTTTGCCCACTTACAAAGAATGCTTATTTTTCCTCATCAGATGGTTATCAATTTTTTATAAATTCATATGATGTGATTTTCTGGAATCTTCTTTGGGATTCTGTCTTTCACTGTTGGAATGTACATATGATTAAAGTTATAGATCGTTGCATTCTTTGTAAGTGGGAAAACCTGCTAAATCAGCAAGGGGTCAAATACTTATTTCCCCCACTATATCCCCGCAAAGTGAAGCCGGTTGGGAGGAGAAAGGGGGCGTCGCAGGAGGCGGCAGAAGATTGGCACCTTTCTTTTTTTATTTTTAGGATTAGTGTTTCCTTGATATACTGCTGCGTAATCCCAGACCCAAAAGGGAGGCAAAGGGATGAGAGTCCCGGCGAGTGTCGGAGGAAAGGAGAGCGAGCCCACCTCCGAGGAGACGGGGGGGGGGTGGTGGGGGGGGGGAGGGGGGGGGGGGTGTGTGAAATGCCTCTTTTGTGCGGCGCCTTGTCAAACACTTAGTTTCATTCTTTTGTGGCGGGGAGTCACGCTTTGTGTGTTTGGCCTACAAACGGCTGGAGGATAGAAAGCGTTCCCTCATGGCCATTGTCTGTGTGCCGAGGAACTGATTCTGACCTGAACTCTGCAGTTATTAGCTCTGAAAAAGCCACCGAAAAATTAAACTTCTTGGCTTTGATCGACCAATCGGGCCATTTTTTTAACCTTTTTTTTTTGTGTTTTTGTTTGCTACCAAGGTTTCAACCATCAACCAAGCTTAGCAACCCCCTTTGCTCGTGTTCGCAGAAACTATGGCAACAAACGAGATCCCCCCCCCCCCCCCCACATCCCCCCTCTTCTTCCCCCCCCCCCGCTCGCTCTCACCGGGCGGCCCTCGATGCACCAGCTGCTGCGCCGTGTAGCAGCAAATAGTCATCAAAATGCCATCTTTGCAGGCCTTTACCACTTCGCCTGCCACCGGCGCAACCTGGCCGCCGGCGCCCGCGTTTGTGCGAGCGCGTGTGTGTGTGCATGTGTGTGTGTGTGTGTGAGTGTGTGTGTGTGTGTGTGTTTGGGTGAATGGTCGGGGGTGGTCATCTCAATCGAGGTGGATTTGTGCCATAATTGAGCTCTTCTAGATGATGACTGTGAACGTGTGTCTGCAAGAGTTGTGCTTCTGTGTGTCTGTGTGTGTTTGTGTGTGTGTGTGTGTGTGTGTGTTGGCAGCTGGTTGCCCTCAGTACCTGCTTGCTGCACTGCTGTTCACTTCACACACACGCACACAAACGCACACAAACGCACACGCGCTCTCTCCTCTCGCTTCCTGTCTCCCATGTTGGGGAGTGGAGTAGATGTTGGGGACCGATAGTAGCCCAGTGCCACTTCCTGGTCTTGCTGATAAGCTCTCTGTGCTGCAGATGGCTATCACTTAAAGGGTCCACACACACGTACGCAAACGGCACACCCTGGGACTCACACACACACACAAACACACACACACACACGCAGTCTTGCTACCTGTTGACAAACCCCAGCACAGGCCTCCCGCTGGCACCACACTGGAAGCAGAGGCTCTGGTTATCTGCTTGATTTCACTTAGTGGGTATGAATGTGTGTGTGACAGAGCAGAGGGGAGTGTAGGTGTGTGTGTGTGTGTGTGTGTGTGTGTGTGTGTGCGTGTGCGAGTATTGTTTCCCTCACACATACAGGCAGGGCCCCCTGTGAGAGGTAGAGTGATGTATTGAGGGAGAGGGCTGATTAATGAGCAGCGTTTATTAGAACATCTGTGTCAAAGATGGCGGAGGAGAAGGGAGTAAGAAGGATCTGCAGGCCCCTTATTTGTTGCCTGGAGCTTCCTTAGCCCAGATATAGTGTAAATAAAACATGGCGGGCTGGAGGAGAGGAGTTTGTTATCCCTCTGTCTTAAAGGAAAACTCTCTCTTTAATGTACTTTAGGATCCTCAGATCTCTGGCTCCCGTGTAGAACCAGGTTAAAGGGAAGTTTTATCCCAAATTTCGCCTCCTTCCAAGGCGATAAATCAGAGTATCAGTCATTGTGGTTCACTCTGGCTTCTGTACATCATAAGCAACACAGAGGAACTGCCTTTTTAAGAGCACGGAAGGGTGAACGAGTCAGTTAATTCTTCATAATAGCAATATTGCATGAATCCAAGAGAAGGAACTGCCTCATGCAGTCACCCATTAATAGGCTAATTCTGACTTCCTAACCCTAACCTGAACTCCATCAGGGTTTTTTATTGAATGAAGGCTTTTCAATATAGCTCTAAAAGACGGCTTTGTTATACTGTGCGAGTCCAACTGCAGACCCCCCCCCTTTCCCGCCCTTGTTTTTCATCGTGACGGGATGATGCACCGTAGCCTGGTTGGCACAGATTCACACCCAGCTGCAGTCGCCAATGTGACTCTCCTCAGCCGGCTTTATTAAGCCCTGAGAAAACAGGCCGGAGGAGAAACCGACTCCGCCCGGAGCGGGCAGGTATGGGAGGAATGCCGTAGAACATCCCGTCGGCTCCTTCCTGTTTTTTTTCATGACTTTATTTAGGTTTTAACAAAATAAAACAAAGTATACTTAGACTTAGACTTAGACTTCCTTGATCGTCATTGCACAAAAACACGAGGTGAATTTGACAATGAAATGTCAATTACTTGGCTACCAGTGTAACAGCTAAGACCTTATACCATGCACAATAAATATGTATTGTATTCTATTCTATAACTAAGCACTAAGCGTAAAGAATTATATTTATACATATATATATATTGCACTGACTTTTTTTGCAACGAAACATCAATAAATGCGCCATGTTGCACATTAGACCAAATTGGGTACGCAAGCACTGAAAACTTAGACGATATAAAACAAAACAAACCATAAAAGAAGAACGAGAAAGATGCCAACAATACACTTATCCAAGGTAAAAGCAGACATTACCGATTAAGGTTGATCTGAGCTGGAAACGTCATTGTAAGGGGCCCATTTGTCGTTATAATCATCTACTCTATTTAACAGTCTGTTTGATAATCTTTCAAATGCGGCCAGTTGTCCAAGTGAGGTGTGCCACTGGATGAAAGTCCCTTACTAAAAGTTTTCTCCCCATTATGATGGCTCAGCTCCTTCCTGTTTGACGGCGAGCTTCGGTCCCTATCTGAAGCTCCTGCAGCTTTAACGGAGCGGGTTAGGAGTTCAGAGTTTGACCGAACCTCTCTGGTGGCACAGCTGTTACCCTTCACCCCCCCCCCTCTTATGCAGAGACAAACCGAATACAGGCAACCAGAAGCATCCCGAAGCGCTTTATTCACGCTCCTCCGCCAGAAGGTCCCCCACCATCCTCCGAGCGCATTCATTATAGAAAATGATAAAGATGGCTTACCTATAATTTGAAAACAGATGGTTTGGTTTCTTTTGAATATTTATAACAATCAAAAACAATTTCTCCCGCGCCAACCGAAAGGTATTCGCCCGGAGGCTGGCGAGGTGTTAAAACATTCATTTTAATGAAACCGGATGGGGAGGAAAAAAAACAAGAAAAAAAAAACAGCTCTTTGTCTTTTCCCAGGTGAAGGGAAAAGGTTGGGGTGGATGTTGGGAGGGTGAAGAGGCGAGTTCTCGGGGGGGCGCCACGCGCTCGTGGCGGCCCTCAGCCCGCTTGAAGTTGTTGCCGCTAACAGATTGTATCAATAAAAGCGCTCGGAAATAAAAGGGGGCTTAGCTGTTTACATTGCCCGACTCCACAGCTGCCGACACTCAATAAGCTTCCATCTTCGCTAATTTTCAAGGTAAATATCTTCCTGGCGGCTCGCTCCCGAAGCCAGCAGATGTAAAACGCAACCCGCTCTGCAAGACAGCAAAAAAACAAACTCAGCGGCATTTGATAAGAGGAAAGATACTGATAAAGCCTTGTTGGATGTAATTTGTTGTTGGTATAAAAACAAGATCCTGAATTTCTGCATGTCCTATATTTTTCAGTCTGCTTTTATTTATTTATTTATTTTAAATAGTGGGTTTTAACATATCCTTATATTTTTGTTTTGACAAGCTACAGTGTTGCTGCATGTTTCACAAGCTTTCATATTATATCTGTGCTTCCCACAATGAAAACCTAAAGTCTCTCCCTCTGTCTCAATCAATCTCTCTCTTTCAGAGTATGATTTCCTCCATTGTGAACAGCACTTACTATGCAAATGTGTCGGCGGCAAAGTGTCAGGAATTTGGGCGCTGGTATAAACATTTCAAGAAGACAAAAGATATGATGGGTAAGCAAAACGGAGGGGCGCAAAGTATGGCGCTACACACTTTTGTCTCTCTGTTGCACACACACACTTCCACGTTCGCAGCAGTCATCATTACAGCCGCCTCTTTGTCGCGTCCCGCCGAAACGCGCCTCTATCTCGTTATCTATTAATTCAAAAACGACTTGGGGCAGTCGCGGTTGAACCCGGCCTTATCTCTGAGCGATCCTTCATTCCTTTAACCAGCGCTAATGCCGGAGCCGGGGTTGGGGGGGGGGGCCTGGGGATGTTTTTGTTTTCGCGCGTGGGGTTTTTCACACTTAAGTTTTCCGTCCAGCAAAAAGGCAGCGGCGGCTTTAAGTGGCCGTCGCCTCGACTAAAATTCAATTACGTTTCCTTATCTACCCTCTGCCAATGCATCGCTTTACATTATCTGAAAAAAGTCCCCTCTGACCTGCCAGAAATGGGGTTGGACTGTCAAACCAGTTGCATCCAGACTGGAGATAGACTCTCAATATATATTTCTCTGTGTTCTGATTAAGCTCTATGAGAGGGTGCAATGTTGAGATTTTAGTTTTCGCAATCTGTTGAGCTTAATCTTCTTTCTTTGCTGGTGTGCTGTTGCTCACAGTGATGACAGAGGAGATACGATATCAAAATGTTTTCCCAGCCTCCATGCAAATAGTTGGTTGCGATGGTATCTTATCTGATGCGTTTTTTTCTGCTGTTAAAGTGCCAACACGAGTTACTTCTGACCTGTCGTGCGTTCCGACTTTCTTGCATTCTTCCTACGCACTTTCTGTCACCGTCGTTTTTTCCTATTTGGTTTTTTTGTGTTCCTCAAAAGTGAAAAATGCTGCAGCTGCCAGACTGGTCTTTTTTGACGTTTTTTTTTTTTTTTTTAAAGAAGCTTTTTGTTCTTCCTGCGTTGCCGGAGTGGGAGAGATGTTGTGTAGCAAGCCTTAACCCTTTGTTTCTTCCCCCACCACTCTACACCGTGTGCTGTGTGTGTGTGTCTGTGTGCGATTGTGTTTGCGTGTGTGTGCGTGTGCCGTCCCGCCTGGTGCAGGCATGCGCCAACCCTCCCAGCTGGAGGGCTACCTGGGGACGTGTGTCCTCCGAGAGAGCCCGCGGGCCAGTGCTCTAGGTACGTTTGCAGCACGGGCGCACACACAAACACGCGCACGCGGGCCGGGGAACGGCCACCGGTGGCGTTTTGTTCACGTGTACCGAAATGTCTCCACGATCACTGTTAGCCCGATAGGAACAGCTGCACATTTTTAATTTTTTAAAGATTTTGTTGGCTCAAGTGGCCCTTAACTCATTGACTGCCAGCCATTTTCAGAACAGAGAGTCCCATACTGCCAGAGTTTTCTGATTTTTCAAGAGCCACAGAATAGTTTGTGCTACGACTATGTAAACACCGAACACACCAAAAGAAAGAGTAGACTCTCTTCTTTCATCAGGAAAAAAAAATTGTTTCTACCTTATTCCGTTCTTCCTCGACTTGCGTCTCACCGGCGCCATTTTTCGCATAGCGAACCATTGCGTTGTTTTTATTTGCCTACAGTCTATGCTCATCTCCCATCAAAAGTGGCACTGCCCCCTAGAGGGTCAATTTGTTACTACATACTCTGTCTAGAAGCCTGATATTTACGGACAAGCTTTAGCAGATCGTCCCCCAAGACGCTATCGTTGAAAAACATATCTATAGACGTCTTTGGCAGTCAGCGGTTGGATTTGAATTGACGTCTATAGACGTCTTTGGCAGCCAATGAGTTAATGACAGTAGCTTGACAGGAAGGGGGGCAGAGATAGAGAGGGGGAGACCTGCGGGAAAGGGCCATGGGCCGGAATCGAACCCAGGCCGCCCGCTTATGAGGAGGTCCTCACACAGGGAGGTATTCACACAGACAGCTGCACATTTAACCCCCCTTTTTCTTTAAGCTAGCTCCGAACTCCACGTTAATCAATACAATTCTGAAGTGAATGCTCACGAGATGTCTGACTAGAGTCACCAATCTGGCCCCAAAAGTAGTTGAAGTTTGGGATGTTCCTCACTCCCGTCAGTCGAAAACTACAGCTTTTATAGTCCATTAAGCAGGTCTACTGAATTAGTGTCGTGTTTCAGTGTAAATGTTTAGCTCACATTGGGAGTTCCTGTGTGAAATGTTCCTCTTTAGCTCCAGTGGGGTTCAGGTGGCTGCTGACTCATCAGGAGCTTTAGTGTTCAGTGGGGTGACTTTCAGAGAGTTCAGGATGCCCCCCCCTCCTCCCTTTGACATGGCCTCCGTTTTGTTTTATTGCTGATTGATTTACATGCACACAGAGAGGGTTCAGTGCAATTAGGGAAGTGGATACTTTAACATTTAAAGTCATTTTTAGCTGTGCGTTGAGTCTAAAGCGGTGATGTGAGGACATAAATGTTTTGTTTCCACGTATAGGACGCCGCCGACCACATTATGTATCCGATAATATCTCGAAGAAGTGCTTACTCACAGTCACACAAGCTGTAGGACCCACATGCAATCTTAGCCAAACCTAAAATACAAAAGCTTGGGACTCCAGTCTCAGGTGCCCCCCGATACTCGGCTACTTTCTGCCCCAAACGGGAGAAAAAGCGCCTGCGAGCTGCCAACTATGACGGCCGGAGGAAAGCGAGGGAGAGAGAGAGAGAGAGAGAGAGAGAAAGAGAGAGAGAGAGAGGGGTTACGGACCTGGGTTTACCGAGCGGTTTGAGCCCGGAGTCACAGGGAGCGAGTACTTGCTCAGGTGCTGCCAAGTGGCCCCCCGGGGCTGTGCCGGGCCTGTTGACTCCTCCTCACCGGGCAGACTCTGGTCACTGTGTGTCTCTCTCTCTCTCTCTCTCTCTCTCTCTCTCACATGCCCTCCCTCCCTCCCTCCCTCCCACAGCCCACATCCCATCCCCATTGTGCGTTTAATCCGGGGCCCTTTTGTGGCAGGATTCCACATGAGGACTCCTGCTTTCTGTGGCAGGCTTTTTTCTCCCAGGGCCTGCCATGCTCTTCTGTCACCCCTTCTCTTTTCAATTTGCATGGAAATGCCTCCATGTGCTTCTGTGTTTGTGTGTTGTGAATATGCCCCCCAGCAGTCTGCGCGAGCAAGCGTACACACTCACACACACACACACGCTCACACACAAACGCACAGAAGCGAATGGGAACGCCATACCATCACAGCCAGGGATTATGAGAGAAGATGTGATTATTACTAAGATTTTTTTTTTTTTGTCCTCCCCACCCCTCCACTCCACATCGTTTGTTTTTTCGACAAACGCTCAATAGACCCGTCTTGGCCGGGTGTTTTGTGCCTGCTGACAGTTTAAAAAACGGCGGTTCACAGACACGATTATGTTTTAAAAATTTTTTTTAAAAAGCCCCAAACAACAGCCGTGCATTTGATCTTTTCGTCTACTGTAAAAATTCGGCTCGTTGAAGACTCCCCCTCCCTCCAAACACCCGTGTCACAGTGGATGTGGAGGCTGCAGCCCACTTCTGAGGTGTTAACGTTGCCGTCGGTATGAATTCTGAAACGCTGCCCCCTCACTCATTCGGCACAGAGCGAGCAGAAATCCTCGGCATTAGCGCTTTCTCTTCAGAGACGCAGCAACCTGAAAACATTCAGCCCTTCCAACCGCTTATTCGCGTCTCTGTGGGTAGTACTTTCAATCTTAAATCATTGTTTTCATCCTCTAAGCATATAATTTAAACTTGTCTTGGAATATTCCCCCAGCGGCCATTATAGGACTTAAGGATTCCCAAAGCCAGAGATACCACAAACATCTCCTTAAAGGGCCATTAAATGATCGCACATGGATTTCTCTCCTCTTTTTTTCTTCTTTTTTTCTTTCTTTTACTGTTAAAGTTGATTCAAAGAGGGTAGTCTCCGCGTCCTCAGCTGTGTACTCCCTCTGTCCTCGTCCAGTTCTGAACATTTATATTTAAACAGTCCTACCCCAAAAAATGTCATATTGGCTAGCGTGTGTTCCTTATTTTAGAATTAAGGATGCAAAGAGAGAATCAGATTTAGCCGTATTGCTTCTGCCTTTGTGGATACACACACGCACATTAATCCTTTACCTACACACACACACACACACACACTCCACTGTCTGTGCAGGGCTCTTTTTTTTTTTTCCTTTTCCACGAGGCCACAGACATTCTGAACTTAATTTTGGAGGCATGGGTTGTGGAAGACGCAGGTCAAACACAATGGAGCCCTTTTATCTGCGTTTCCATCTTCCTTTTTTTCTCCTTTATGCCACTCGCTGTCATGTCCAGTTGGGGAGGAAGAAGAAGCCTTTGAAGGGCACTGCTTATAGGAAAGACACCAAAATCCAGTAACCTTTTGTCTGTAATCTGGTTTCCTTGATTTGTTTTGGTTGCAAGGCTATATTTCCTCCCCGTAGAGAGTAAGCAGGAATGTTAACTGACAGGCAAAGATTCACCCGAGGCCAGCGTTTGATCGGACGCAGGCCCGGCCTGTTTCCTTTCTTCTGATTAGCGACTACGGTCATGATGCCATTAAGCTGATGTACGCGATCGGGTAAATGAAATGTGGCCTCCATTTCTCAAATGCTGCTGTGTTCTGTTCTGCTTTCCTCTTTTGATTTTCTTTTTTAAAGGGGACATATTATGCAAAACCAAGTTTTTAATAATTTGATTATGTACACTTGGGACTGTGGAGGGCCTATTAGAAGGCAAAGTGTGAAAAAAAGTGACTCAGTCATGTTTTTGAGGGCCGCCTCAGTCTGAATCCAGGAGATAAATCAGGAGGTTTCAGGAGTGGGTAGTTTCTGACGTCATTAGCTCTAGCTCATTATAATATTCCAGCCTTTCACCTGCATGTTGTCCCCCCCCCATAGCTTACTCCCCTATCTGTGGCAGACGTCGTGGTAGCGTGAGCGTTAGCATGGTGGCGTTAACATGGTGGCGTTAGCATGGTGGCGTTAACATGGTGGCGTTAACATGGTAGCGTTAGCATGCTAGCGTTAGCATGCTAGTGTTAACGTGCCGACGTGGGCACACCTCCCGGAAGAAGTGGGTGGATTGGCTGTGTCTCATTTGCATTTAAAGAGACAGGCACTCCAAAGCGAGCGCTCTGAACGGGGCTGTTTTGGCAGGGGGACTGAACTGCTATTCATCCTTATGGGATTTTGACCAAAGCTCGTCACAGACATTACATTAGGACACCAGGGAACTAGCTTAACTTGTTGAAATAGGGTATAATATGTCTCCTTTAAGGTAGACAAATAAGTCAGTGACTGTTTTAAAACAAAATTATTATTTTTTATTTTCTCCCTCAGCGGAAATGGACGGCCTGTCCGACCTGTCCCCTCCCGGCTCCAACCACAACCACAACCACAACCACAACCACAACCACATGGGCTTCTCCGCGCAGCAGCAGCCCATCCCGGGCAGCACGGCGGAGCAGACGCCCTCCTCGCCGGTGCCCCCCCTCCCCCACGCCGCCCCCCCCCACGGCGGGCAGGCGGGGGGGCGGCTGCCCGGGCTGCACCACCCGGGCCTGGTGTCCACGCCCATCAGCCCGCAGCTGGTCAACCAGCAGCTGGTGATGGCGCAGATCCTCAACCAGCAGTACGCCGTCAACCGGCTTCTGGCGCAGCAGTCCCTGTCCCAGCAGTACCTGAACCACCCGCCCGTCAACCGCAGCGCCCACTCCAAGCCCCTGGAGCCGCAGGCCGCCTCCAACACCGAGGTCTCCGCCGAGATCTACCAGTGGGTCAGGGACGAGCTCAAGAGGGCCGGCATCTCGCAGGCCGTGTTCGCCCGCGTGGCCTTCAACAGGACCCAGGTGAGCGCCCCAAAAAATTATGTTTTTTTTTTTTACGTTGTTTATGCTCATTAACTCATTGACTGCCAGCCATTTTCAGAACAGAAAGTCCCATACTGCCAGAGTTTTTTGAGCATTTTGACTGATTTTTCAAGAGCCACAGAATAGTTTGTGCTATGACTATGTAAACACCGAACACACCAAAAGAAAGAGTAGACTCTCTTCTTTCATCAGGAAAAAAAATTGTTTCTACTCTACTATTCCGTTCGTCCTCGACTTGCGTCTCACCGGCGCCATTTTTCGCATAGCGAACCATTGCGTTTTTTTTATTTGCTTACAATCTATGCTCATCTCAGATCAAAAGTGGCACTGCCCCCTAGAGGGTCAATTGGTCAGTAGATATTTACGGAAAAACTTTAGCCGATCGTCCCCCAGAAACTCGCGTTGGAAAACATAAAAGACGTCTATAAACGTCTTTGGCAGCGAATGAGTTAATGTAAAGCACATTGAGTTGCCGCTTGGTATGAATTGCGCTATATAAATAAAAATGCCTTGCCTTGCCTTGCCAAAAAACAGACCCCCAGAAAGCTGAAATCACGAGAAAATAACCCGACCAATCGGTTCAATTGGAGTTACGGACTCTACCATAACGTCTGTTTGTGAAGACACATCATTTAGTCTTGGTTATTTGGAACGTGTAGGAGTATTTTAAGTGATTTTTGGTAAGTTATGTCACCGTCCCGCTGTCCAGTGAGACTGAAAAGAGTCCGTGTTTCCCAACAGGTGAAACATGACGCTGCGGGTTGCAATTTCTGTCACTGAAAACAACAGCAAGCGTAAAGAAAAAAATGTGACTTTCCCTTCAAATCTAAAAGAATCGCTCTTTTAAAAAAAAACAAACCTAAAATAATTTCCTCCCTCTCCGTGAAACATTTCCCTCCAGCACGCTGCTCAGAAAACAGAAAACAGTTTTAAAAAGACGGCAGCGAAGCGTTTAAAAGTCTCCGTGTTTGAAGCTCCAGTCTCACTCTCAGTCATCACTCACTCCCGATAACATCTCCTCTGTTCTGGAGGACAGCTGGCAGTCTGCCATGTGAACGATCCCAGGTTTGGTCGTGGCACCCGCTCTCTCACAGCTAAAATATGTAGCTTTTCTTCATATTCAGACGCCTCACTCACTCACTCACACACACACACACACACTTTTGTTTAGACTGTGTGTTCCTGACCCAGAAGCATTCACCCCTGCACAGTGAGGTGTTTTCTTACCTTACCTTTCTGCCTGTAGTTTCAGTTTCAGTTTTCAATATTTTTATTATTTTATCACTTTTGTTACATTTTTACCAGTTTTCAATGTGACTCTTAATAGTTTCTGAGTGTGAAGCAGCAGGTAGAAATATTTTAAACATCTCATATTCCTAAAAGAGTACTACTTATGTTGGGTTATACGATAGATAAATGGATCACACCATAAAACTTTTCCTTTAAGAAGGATCATTAGACCTCATCTGACCTCACACTTAATTTGCATACAAGTTGGCGTGAAAAAGGAAGGAGAAAAATGATAAAAATCCATCAGATTCAGAGCATACACAATCTCCCGCTCCCAAAAACAGATGTGTGTGTGTGTGTGTCACATGGTGGAGTCAGACAGTGGTGTTTTTGTGCGAGTTGTGGAAGCTCCAACACACGCTCTTATCTGTGGCTGATATGAGGAATTAGCCCAATGTGCGGTTGTTGTAGAGTGCCTTTAGAGGATTATTTATTAGGTTTAGTTTTTTTTTTTTTTTTTCCACAGGCCAGCGTTAATAAAAGGAGGGGGAGGTGCTCTAGATGGTGGCATGAAGGGGTGGCTTTCCTTTTTCTATTTCATGGAGGGAAAACCGATCGACCCAACACAGGAGAATCCAGTCAGAGAATGAAAAGCACGGTTTAATCACAGGCCACCAAAAGTGTGCTTCTCAAACCAAAAACGCGGCACGTGTGTTTTACTCATCGTACGTTTCCAGGCCCACATTCAGGCTCAGCTCATTAATGCAAGTGTGCTTAAATGGTAGAAATAAACGGGAGGAAAAAAGCACAAGCATGTTTTTCCCGCCATCACCTTGTTTTATTACCAAATCACACGTATTGATGGCGCGAGGAGCAGAGCGCCGGTTCGCACAGTGTGTGGCCAAGAGCTGATGAAAAGGCCCAATCACACGTCTCTGATAATGGAGTCATCGCCGTCTGATAATGACGGAATTGAGCGCTATTGAAAAGTAAACAGAGGATACGCTGATTGCCCGCCGAACGAGACGTTCCACGCGGGGAGAGACGCTCTCATCCAAAGCAATTTGAAAAAAATATATACCAGGGATGTGGAAAAAAAAATCACAAGTTCAGACATGAAGCGCAAGTTTGAGCCGAGGGGTTTTGTCCTCCGCGAGTGGAGAGTCGAATTTTATCTCACTTCCAGACAAGAGGGGAGAAGAAGAAAAGGACGGCGCAAAGTCTGATTGGATGATTTTTCCAAAATAAATGGTAGTTTTAGAGAAAATGAGGCTGTACTTGGAGTGGCTGAAGAAGTAAGTGTAAGTGAATGAATTACCTTCGTACTTCATCTCTGCTTTTGGTTTTTATCCTTTAGGGTTTGCTGTCTGAGATTCTACGCAAGGAGGAGGACCCCAAGACGGCGTCCCAGTCTCTGCTGGTCAACCTGCGGGCCATGCAGAACTTCCTGCAGCTGCCGGAGGCCGAGCGCGACCGAATCTACCAGGAGGAGAGGGAGCGCAGCCTCACCGCGGCCTCCGCCATGGGCTCCGCCCCCCTCATCAGCACCCCCCCCAACCGCCCCGTACAGGTACCCCGTTAGCCTCCCGCTTTATTCCCAGGCAGCTGCTCATTTTCATCGGAGCTAAACACGGATTTGCCTTTTTTCCCCCAAACATATACAGTGGGGGAGATAAGTATTTGACCCCTTGCTGATTTTGCAGGTTTGCCCACTTACAAAGAATGCCTATTTTTCCTCATCAGATGGTTATAAATTCATATGATGTGATTTTCTGGAATTTTCTTTGGGATTCTGTCTTTCACTGTCAGAATGTACATTTGATTAAAGTTATAGATCGTTGCATTCTTTGTAAGTGGGCAAACCT